GGTGCCCAGGCTAGAGTGCAGTGGTGTGATCTCGGCTCACTACAACTTCTGCCTCACGGCATTAAGCCATCCTCCCGCCTCAGCCTCCAGAGTATCTGGGACTACAGGTGCACACCTCTATGCCCAGCTAAGTTTTGTATTTTTTTGTAGAGACAGGGTTTCACCATGTTGCCCAGGCTGGTCTCAATCCCCTGAGCTCAAGCCATCTGCCCTACTCAGCCTCCCAAAGTGCTGGGATAACAGGCGTGAGCCACCGCGTCTGGCCTCCTGGGATTCTAACATGTTTTCTGCACAGAAGATCAAAGGCTGAATGTCTTTATAACCCATTATGTAGCCATTCAGGAGGGCACTCATCCTAAGAGAAGAAAAAATTAGGTAGTGAAATGATCCAGTAACAAAACTGTAGGCACCAAAGTGTAGGCAGGCTCTTGTTCGGGGGACATGGTGTTTGCTATGAGGCCTTGTCCTCTGTTCCAGTCCTATGGACTCTGTCCGAATCCAAAGAACAGTTCATTAAGTAGGCGCTTTTGGCTGCAAGCAGTAAAGATTCATTCAGGTGAGCTCCAGTAATATGGATTTTTATAAGCTATATCAATAATTCTCAAGGCTTAAGGTGCCCCACACTAGGGAGATCAGGATCACCAGGGACTTGTTAGAAACGTAAGGCCCCTGACCGATTGAATAGAAACCTCTGAAGGTGTTCATGACTCTGTGTTCTAACAAGCCATGCAGGTGATTCTGATGCACACTCATGTTTGACAACTACTGGGATATAAGAGAGGATGATTTTCCAGGACTTCAGCAATGAGCCACACTTCACGGAGATTAAACATCACTTGGGTGCTGAAACTTTATTCAGGACCCATATTGAGTTTTTTTTAGTGGTAGGAGTTAATTGCCATTCACCTGAATGCTCCACTGTAAGTGAGATTCAGACTCTTGTTAGAAATTGAAGAAGACTTTTGATGGTTTTAGGTGGTATAGCGCCAAGAGTTCCAGGAATTCTCAAATCTAGCTCTGCCAGTTATTCCTGTTACCTGAGAAGAACAGCAGCAAAGGGGTGTAATGTGGTTATTACTCTTTTAAATGTGACAGCAGCACCCAACAGCTCTCGCTGCAGAGCCCTGGCATCAGTTGGGTTGAAGCAAGCAGTAGGCCTAGGTAGAATCCACACACCCAACTTGCCATTCTTCCCAGGGTAGTTACTACCAATCGCCTATGCAGTGTTCTCCCCATTGTCAACAGAACTTTGGTGTTTATTAGGCATGTCGGTATTCCCAATTTAAAAGAACTACAAATCTCATCCTTCTTTCAGATAGGAATGTCCAAATGACACAAGAAAAAGTAATTGGATGGAGTTTCTTAGAAAGCCCTTGTTGCATTTCCCTTTTTCTGTGCCTGAACTCGAATGTTATTGTTGGACTCTAACCATGAGGCAAAAGCCAAGAGAATCTCAAAGGCTTCACTCTGAAATCCTTGACGGCTGAAACCACACCAGCAACTACTCTTTTCCAGCCTTCTCATTATGTGATAATGGGAAACTCTTATGTCCTTAAGCCACAATGCTTGGAACATTATTATCAGAAGTTGAATGCAATTACTAACTTATCCAATATTAAACCTATATCTTGGGACCAGAATGCGGAAGAGTGGAGAGAGGGAGAGAAGAAGTGGGAGGGAGAGAGAGAGAGAGAGAGAGGGAGGGAGAGAGGGGGAGAGGGGGAGAGAGAGAGAGAGAGAGAGAGAGAGAGAGAGAGAGAGAGAGAGAGAAAGAGAAAGAGAAAGATTACTTACCCACTTATTTGGAGAAAGAGAGAAAGAAGAGATAACTTACCTGCATGAAGGATCTTGGATCTAATTGCCCATCTAAGCATGGGAAGCCAAGGGTGGAATGGAGAGAAGGGCAGCCTGCTTCCTGTCTAGGTTTGCTTGTCAAGAAGAGGCAGGAAACAAGAACTACAATAGAGGAAACCGAAGAAAAGATGTCTTTACTTTCTACATTTTAAGATATATTGTTTTTGTCCACATGTATTTGTTAAAGGGAGGTTGGCAGAGTGGTACTGGTATAAGGACATGTGGTTAAAGATTTTCTCACACAGTTTTTATTTCTGTTTTTCTAGTTTTTCATTTTGTTCTTGCTACTAATTGATCTTGCTAGCAATTCTTTCTGTGTCTTACACTGAGAAAGAGAATCTGAGTGGTTGAGTGGTGACAGAGTGGGATGCTTCCTGAGCTGTAGGCCAATTTAAGGATTGGCTGTCTTTGGGTTAGGTGCCCATCCCTGGTCCCAGCATCTTTAATGGCAGCATGGAACCTTGTGATTAGGGACATAAGATCACTTTTCTCAGCAGGGACTGGTGGGTGGGGATTCCTTTGGAGGGATCTCTGGACCCCTCTTAGAGTTTTATTTTGTTCACAAACATGAGCTAAGGATGAGGAGGTTTTAAGTAAAAGCTGATAGAGTTGTAAGCCATTGGATGACAGCCCTTCCATGCTTCTTCCTAGCAGATTTCACATAAGAGAACACTGTGCAGCACTGACACTTGGAGGGTTCTTTCTCTGTCTGCAGACACGGGAGCTCAAGCCGTACCCAGAGACAGTGTGGACATGGCGATTCCCAGAGAGCAGACCAGAAGGAGAGGGAGGTACCTGGAGGAAGGATGCTGAGCCAGAGAAGACAGCAAACATGACAGAGACCGTACATGGCTGTAAGACATTGTTTGTGAATTTAAGACATTTCCTACTGCATTCTTTTCACATTTTTCCTTTGGGGTAGGGGACTGAGGGGAAATATACCTACCAGTGGCTCATTATAGGGGAACATTTCTGTAGAATTTAATGTTTGATGTTGAAAAACAATTGTGTACATTTGCATACTATTATATTGTACTACCACAATTTTAGCAATTCAAAATATTGATTGAAATTACTTATTCTTTTCCACAAATCTTGAACTAGAATGGAATTTCCAAGAAAATGCATTATGAATCTCTCAATATGCCACCACATACCTCCTATGGTATATGTACCCTCGTCTAAAAAATAGAACTCAATGGGGATGCCAAACCCCATGGGGAGGGACTTTGTGGAGATTTGAAGGTCCTACAGTTGCAAGTGGTGGTAAAAGCCAGAAAAGTGCAGATAACAGGAGGATAACTTTTTGCTCATAGGGTAGACTATGATTAGACATTTTTGGTGGAGATATTTATTTATACCGGACAATGGGAGACAACCCGAGCCTGTCATAGCAGGGCTAGCAGGGACCATTTTGTCACATGGCACAGAAACTCACAGAAACTGGAAGTTAGGATAGTGGTGGTGCTGGTAGTTGTGGTGGTAGTCATAGGCATAGTAAAGGCAGTGTTTTGGTGAAGAAATAGCAGAATCACATGAAATTAAGTTGTACCCTGGCTTTCACAGAAATGAAAAGAATACTGGCAGTTAATGTCTCTGCTTTTCCTTTGGGTTTGAATGTTTTCTTTCTGCTACTCTCTACATGTATATCCCATTCTCTTTTGGACAAACAAGCATTTTCACTAAAACTAATTTCTGCATCTTAATAACATGCCGTAATCCCACAGACATAGTGCTCACTCAGTGCAGTATGATTCAGGCACCGTCTCTCAAATCCAAATTTTTGAGAGGGTGAATCCATCTGGACGAGGTCGGATCATCTGTCCAGCTGGTTCACTTGGCTGAGATCAGAGTATTAGGGTCATGTTGAGCTTCCCACACAGAAGTGGACCGTGCAGGTGTCAGAGAGGCACAGGGGAGGGGGCCATGGAGGAAATGATGGGGGTTTCTAGAACAAGATTTGAGCTTGAAGAGAAATAGCTATTTCCGAGGTGAGGATGGTAGAATTTGACAACTGATAGGATTTGAGGGATTCCTGTTTGGGAGACTTGGTGGCAAATCCACTTTGAATTTGTTGAATGAATGAACAAACATTTAGTTTGAAAAAGCCATTTTCTGTATTTACTACTTTCAAACCCTACGAACATTGGATTCCTGGATTGAAATTAAATTAGTTTAATGAGTTTAATTAAATGAGTTTAACTCCACCACTATATGAGTGACCTTTAGCAACTCATTTCTCTTAGTTTCTGTTTCCTCATTTATACACGGGCATTAAAAATACCTGCCCTATCTTAAAGGATTGTTGTGATCAATGAAATAGTACAGATTAAAGTACTTTGGGGCTGGGTGTGGTGGCTCATGCCTTTAATTTCAGCACTTTGGGAGGTCAAGGTGGGTGGATCACCTGAAGTCGGGAGTTCAAGACTGGCCAACATGGTGAAATACCATCGCTACTAAAAATACAAAGATTAGCCGGGTGTGGTGGTGCATGCCTGTAATCCCAGCTACTCCGGAGGCTGAGGTGGAAGAATTGGTTGAAACCAGGAGGAGGAGGTTACTGTGAGCCGAGATCACACCACTGCACTTCAGCACTTTAGCCTGGGCGACAGAGCAAGACTCTGTCTCAAAAAAAAAGAAAAAAAAAAAAAAATTAAAAGGTACTCTGAAAACTGCAAAGTGTCGCAAAAATGCAAAGTTTTTTTTGTTTGTTTTTTGTTTGTTTGTTTTGAGACAGTCTCACTCTGTCACCCAGGCTGTAGTGCAGTGGCGTGATCTCAGCTCACTGCAATCTCTGTCTCCCAAGTTCAAGCGATTCTCCTGCCTCAGCCTCCCAAGTAGCTGAGATTACAGGCGCCCGCCACCTCGCCTGGCTAGTTTTTGTATCTTTAGTAGAGACAAGGTTTCACCATGTTGGCCAGGTTGGTCTTGAACTCCTGACCTCAGGTGATCCACCCACTTCGGCCTCCCAAAGTGCTGGGATTATAGGCATGAGCCACCGTGCGCGGCCAAATGTAAAGTTTTATGTGAATACTAGATGATGTGTTATTCCTAAAATTCTCTCTGTACTCATACTTGTGTGTGCATGTGTTCTTGTCTGTGGTGGTGAAGAGGAAGGAGTAGAAGACAGTGTAAAGCTGCTAAATAATAGACATTTCACAAGACAAGGAAATGCTGTAATGTCCTGTGTACATTGTAATGTCCTGTGTACATTGTTTCTGCTCTTACCTTCCTCTGAACATTTCTGGGCAGAGAAATTACTCCCCCTCCAACCAACTCCTTTTTGCCCTTTGCAGGTGGCATGTGATGTTAAGGTCTTTTATATAGGACGAAAGAAGGAAAAGAACTTGGCTGCAACAAAAACAGAGGTAAAAATTAATGTTTGTAGGCTATGAAGACTGTGAGAAATCATTTTGATAGGTAGGGGGTGTAGATGCCATTTGCTTGTGAATATGTGTGTGTGTGTGTGCGTGCACACGCGCACATATGTGAGAGAAACAGAGAGAGAGGGGGAGAGAGAGAGAGAGAGAGTCTTGTAGTAATGGTTTTTCTCCATTGGCCTGTGGAATCAGTTCAGTGTAGGATGTGTTGACTGTTTACTGTGGCTATTCCTAAGGGTTGAGGAACTGGAGGAGTAGTTCTTAACAGAATTTGAGCTAATGATACTGCTTGTTGGATATTATTTCATTTTCAGAAAGGACTGGCTGAGGAGGGGTTGGGAAACTGACATTGGATGTCAGGTACTTATGTCAGCTTAGGCTCAAAGTAACATCATGAAGTACTCATGATCATCCCTGATTTCCAGATAAGGCAACTGAGCTTCAGAAAATTGAAATGATTGTCCAAGTTCTGCAGAAAGTAAGTAGAGGACCTCATATTTAAGCCCAGGCTAGTTTGATTTGAAACTCCATGTTCTTCCTTCTTTTTTTTTTTTTTTTTTTTTTTTTTTATTAGAGACAGGGTCTTGCTGTGCTGCCCAGGATGGAGTGCAGTGGTGCTGTCATAGCTCTCTGCAGCCTCAATCTCCTGGGCTCAAGTGATCCTCTTGCTGCTGTATGGGGGCTGAGAATCCCTAAAGAGCATTCTCCAAATTTTCTAAAATTCCTCAATTTTTATGGAAAATTCCCCAAATTTTCAGATTAAATCATCTGAAAATTTAACATGAAAATTTTATCTTGAATGAAATACTATGTTTGACAATTTCATGCTGCAAGGATACTTTTAGGGACATCTAATCCACCCACCGTTAATTACCAGTAAAATCCACACAGATACAATTATTATTTTCTACAAGGATTTTGTTCCAGGAAGGGAGAACACAAAGTCATGTTCCATGTAGGAGGAGGAAGAATGCATACAGGGCCTCATCTGTCGCTTCTGGGCTCAGCATTCAGAATGGGCTCTTCATGTGGGTCTGGCTTTGACAGAGAGTTTGAGGAAGCTGTGTGGGCAGGGACTTAAGGAGTGGCTAGCACTCCTCCGAGCACCTTGGGGAATGCACACCTATAAAACAGAGCAATATATTCTTGAATGCACTATTAAACTGGCATTGTAGTAATTAAAGAGTTTAGTAATTACAGGGCTGGCCAAACAAGAGCAGGGAAAAACTTCTCAATCCCATCTCCCCCAGGATTGAAAGGCTGAGGTTTGTAAAGGGTACTTTGGTGGGCATGGGACTGGAGAACTTGTGTAATTGATTGGCGGGGATTGAAATCACAGGAGCACCTAAAACTGTCTGTGTGCAGTGGAGTCAGTTCCCGGGAGGGGTGTGTGTGTTGGGGGGCGGGGGGTGCTCAAGACTAGGTGGTGTCTCTTGTTCTACTGAAATGCTAACAAATATCTAGAAGACCAGTTATTTAGGTTTCACCATAGTGATTGATACGGTTAGGCTTTGTGTCCAAACCCAAATCTCATCTTGAATTGTAATCCCCATAATCCCCATATGTCAAGGGAGGGAGCAGGTGGGAGGTGATTGGATCATGGAGGTGGTTTCCCCCATGCTGTTCTCCTGATAGTGAGTGAGTTCTCATGAGATCTGATGGTTTTATAAAGCAGTTTTCCCTGCTCTTGCTCACTCTCTCTCTGGCATGCCACTATGTTAAGATGTGCCTGATTGTCCTTCCACCATGATTGTTTCCTGAGGCCTCCCTGGCCTTGTGGAACTATGAGTCAACTAAACCTCTTTTCTTTATAAATTACCCAGTCTCAGGTATGTCTTTATAGCAGTGTGAAAACAGACCAATACAGTGATGTTATCTTTGGTAGTTGGGAAAGTTATACATTTTGTGACATTGGTTATGTGACTGGGGCAGTAAGCAACTTACAGAAAACAAACTAAGCCATGGCAAGAAATTGTTTATGCCTATTCTTTAGCAAAGTCCAAGCCCCTACCATAATTCCAACCTTGCCTTATGAATGTGGCTTTAAGCTTCAGGCAAGGAGGGGGATCATTTTCCCTTGACTCCAAGTTTAACTATAAACTAAATCCCTCTCATAGTTATGTTGGCCTTTGTAGTAGAATAAGCAAAAAGCCAACCAAAAAAAAAAAAAAAAATCCCCGGGAAAACATAATTTAGCCTGGGAGGTTAGAAGCAAGATGGAGTCAGTAATGTTAGATTTCTCTTATTTATAATTCTGCAAAGGCAGTTCAAGAGTCACCAGACTGTTAAAGGATTTCCATACTGCAAACAAGCTTAAGGACACCTGAAAGAAGAAAGAAGAAAACTATTTTTAAAACATTTTTAAAACAACTTCCTTCCATCGCAATCATCAGATTGTGCTACTAAATGTCAATGAGTTCCTGAGAGATTCGGAGTCACTGTAAGATACCAGGGCTCTTTTGGAATACTGGGGTCATTTATTTTTTGCTCTTTATCATCTACAAATTGTGTCTGTGTTCTCTTACCAGACACATGGAGTGTCTTTACCACTGATTAAACATTCAGTGCCTGGAGGGGATGGAGTGGGTCATGGGAGCTGACATTTCCTTCCAAAAGTGGTAGGGATGTCCTTCTTAGAGCAAGACCATGATTACTAATTAACTAAAAATTCTGATCCTGGAAATAAAAGCTGGCCATTCATTTGCATTTGAAAGCCATTAACATTTTCTTGATAGGTCAGTAAATAGTTACCAGATCTTTGGCTGCTTTGGTGGACTGTGCTCCTCTGCTTTTATTGCTAAGCCATCCTTCAGACAGAGAGGGAGCGGCTGCAGGAGGTAATGAGGTATGTTTGTGAACCTTGGGTTCTTTTGTGGTTACAGATGTGTGTCTACAAGTGTGTGTGAATTTGAGTTGGTCTCTTTTAGTCAAAATGCCCTTGTCAATTTGTTAAACACAGACAAAGATAAACAACACCAATAATAAATCAAAAATTATGCGCATGCATACACATGGAACAAAATTCTCATTTATCTTTTTTTCTTAGTGTGTGTATATTTTTCTGAACTAAGGCTGGATCTATAAGCCTGATTGTAGTGAAACCTGTGTGTTTATGTGTGTGTTTCTGTGTGAGGTGTGATGAATTACTTAATACTTAGGTTGAGGCAGCAGGCAGAAATTCTTTCAGATTCTGGAAATGAGGTGAGAGAAATGAATAAAAGGAGTTAGAATTTGGGAGTGAGATTAGAGCATTTCTCTCTGAAAGGATGTGGAGTTGTGATTGAGAAAATGTAATTGGAGAACCAATTATAGTCAGAAAATTGAGAAATCTATCACTATGCTTATGGGTTTGGTACCTCTGTTGATCAAATACAGAATAATTTTAGGGAATAGACTGAGGGTGTGTGTAACATACTGGGATGCATTTATGAGTTGGTATGCACTGGGGGTTAGGAGTGGTTTCCTGTGGAATCTGGAAGGAGGTCATAAAGAGAAAGTAGGGTATCTGTCCTGGCAGTCATGTGTGGAGTAGAATGGGAGTGCCCGTGGGAAGAGGAGAAGGTGATAAATTGTTTTTGGCCCTCCCTGGCAAAACTTAAAATAAAAAAAAAATGGATCCTTACTAGTTGCCAGAGTCTAGCTAGACACATGCAGGCATTTCTTTTCTGACTGGTTACAGAGGTGGGAAGGGAGAGTTACTCTTGGAGAAGAGAAAGAAATTGAGACTAATCCCCATGGGTCTCCCTGAAAAAGGATATCAGTAGGTTCTTGTTGCAGAATCTGATCAGTGGCTTTGCTGGGCAAGGAGGACCTCCCAGTGTCCAAACTGTCTACAGTCTGTGTCCTGTTGTGGGACAATAAGTGTATGTCTGCAGGTGTGCCAAGAAGGGGTGAGATGGAGGGCATCTTTGGTTTGTTGTGCTGGTAGGACCCTGTGCTACCAGGGACCAAATGAAGTGCTACACTAAATTTAAGACAGCTCATTGCTATTTCACTCACACTTTGACAAGATGCCAATGATCATTTTTTATTATCAGGAATTCCCTCACAAATACATTTTAATGAGCTAATAAAATTACTTTAAAAATTGTTCCGTAAGCAGGGAATGGAACTAGAATAAGAAATGTTCCATTTAAAATTGGTTCAGGTGGCAGCTGTGGAATGTGATGAGAAATATAAGACTTCACACACTCTGTTGCTGGGCTCGAGGAGGAGTTAGCTGTCTCCTAGAGATGATCCCTTTGCAGTTCAGATGGGGAAACTGAGACCCAGAGGGGTTAAGTTGTTTTTCCAAGGTCACACAGCAGGCTAGGGTAAGAGCTGACTCTTAGATCTCTCACTTTGGATGTGACCAGACTTGCAAGAAAAAAGCCATTCATTTGCTACCTTATCCCTTCCCACTCACCAAGCAGCTGGGAAAGGATGACCCAACCTCATAATATTGCCCAGCATTTTTGATGAATAGCTATGGCTTGCTGGGGTCCTCTCTGCAAGTTGTTCTTGGTCTATCTACAATGAATCCTCTTTTCCACTAGATCTCATGCCTTGTGTTAGCAAAGGATTTTAAAAGAATGGCTTAGACCTCCATATACACATCAAACACTGGCCATAATGCTGAAAAGAGGACATATATACAGTTTTTCCAAATTAATTTAGATAGTCATTTTAGTAATTTGGGCCCCCATGTGGTTTGTCTACTTTGCCTAAAGAACTATAACGGTACCAGGACAATGAGCTTTGACGATTATTCATATAGTAAATAATTCAAGAAGAAAAAAAATTCTGCTTTTGCGTAATGTATCTATATTAATAATTCTTTTTTAAAATTTTACTTTAAATTCTGGGATACATGTGCAGAACGTGCAGGTCTGTTACATGGGTATACATGTACCATGGTGGTTTGCTGCACCCATCAACCCATCATCTAGGCCCCATATGCATTAGGTATTTGTCATAATTCTCTCCATCCCCTAGTCCCCCATCCCCTAACAGGCCCCAGTGTGTGATGTTCCCCTCCCCATGTCCATGTGTTCTCATTGTTCAACTCCCACTTATGAGTGAGAACATGTAGTGTTTGGTTTTCTGTTCCTGTGTTAGTTTGCTGAGAATGATGGCTTCCAGTTTCATCCATGTCCCTGCAAAGGACATGAACCCATTCTTTTTTATGACTGCATAATATTCCATGGTGTATATGTGCCACATTTTCTTTATTTATTTATTGATGGGCATTTGGGTTGGTTCCAAGTCTTTGCTATTGTAAATAGTGCTGCAGTAAACATACATGTGCATGTGTCTTTATAGTAGAATGATTTATAATCCTTTGAGTGTATACCCAGTAATGGAATTGCTGGGTCAAATGGTATTTCTAGTTGTAGACTCTTAAGGAATTACCACATCGTCTTCCACAATGGTTGAACTAATTTACACGCCAAACAGTGTAAAAGTGTTCCTATATATAGTAATAATTCTTACGTTTCAGTACGATTTTTTCCTCACCAACCTAATTAAAATTGCAACCCTTACCCCAACATTCCTCATTTACCCCCCACTTTTTCTCCATATACTTATACAGTATAACCTATTGTAAATTTATTTATTTTGTTTATTGTCTCTTTTTTCTACTCGTGGGAATGTAAGTCTCATGAGGGCAGGGATTTTTATCTGTTTTGTTCATTGTTGTATAGCCAGTGTTTGAAAGAATGCTTGGCACATCATAGGGACTTAATAAATAATTCATGAATGAATAAATAAACTGCAAGCAGATTTCTTTCTTCCAGAGATATAGCTTAGATAATGATGAATGAGCATGGCAAATAGGGCACATCAGTAGCTTCTTCTAGGTCTCCCAGATAATTTAAAACAGTACTATGGGCCATAAACTTAATGTGGTTTTGTTTGATAAAACTACAATCTCACAGAAAGCCCAAGCTGGTGTACACTGTGGGGCATTATAGCATAGACTATAGAGTAACGGTTGAAAGCCATGGCTGTGGAGTCCAAAGGGCAGGTGTTCAAATTGGGGCTTTGCTCCTTATCAGCTGTATGACATCAGGCAGGTTATTTGATGTTTCTGAAGCTTAATTTTTTCATCTGCAAGTGAGGATAGTAGCCATAATCAACTTGCAGTTGTTATAAAAATTGCATGTGACAAATTATGGAAGCCTCTTAGCATATCTGCTCAATCACTGTTAACCATTATTATCATTAGCATTAAAATTGCATAATTATATATTTGTCCTATAAAAATAATAGTCAAAGATTAAGGACAGATTGCCAAGTAGCGGTTTTTTAAAAAACATTTTTAAAAGCACTTAACCCTATTTAAATTATTTTCTTTTTTATTTGCCTCTTGCCATTTTTCTTGATCTTAGTTTTTCTTCAATTGCATTTCTAATTGAGATAGGAAGCTTCACCACCAAGGGTTCTATAATGCAGGAAGTAAAGTCAATCAGATAATGCTGGAGTTTTTTTTAAGGTTTAAGGAAACCTTTCTCTTGTATAGCTAGAAAATAGATATTATTGTTCCGTAGAGCAAGTAACCATATTTGAATATATGGAGCAAAAGGACTATTGATAAACAGCAAGTTTTAAAAAAAATGTTAATGATATTTTATTAAAAAGTCATATTTACCTATGCATATTAGTTATCTATTGCAGGGTAACAAATTACCTTACAATTTTGTAGTTTAAAACAACAAACATTTATTATCTCCCAATTTATGCAGGTCAGAAATATGGGAGTGGGTTAGCTGAGTGGTGCTGATTCAGGGTCTCTCATGAGTCCAGCCGAGATGTCAGCCAGGACTGCAGTCATGTGAAGGCTTGAATGGGGATAGAGGCCTGCTTTCAAGGGAGCTCACTCAGATGGCTCTTAGCAAAATACCTCAGTTGTTTGCTAGAAATTTCCATAGTCCTGCTTGAATGTTATGATGGCATGGCAACTGTTTTATTCAGGAAATGATCCAAGAGAAAGAGCAAGGAGGAAGCTGTAAAGCCTAGTCTTGAAAGTTAGATGCCATCCCTTCTCCATATCCTATCTGTTGAGAGTGAGTCACTAAGTCCAGCTCATCCTCAAAGCGGGGGGTGGTAGGGACTTGGCCTACCTCTTCAAGAGAGGAATATCAAATAATTTGTGAAATTAAAAACACCTGCCATGTCATGATTTTAAGTAACATTGAATTATATTTTACTTCACATATTTACTGAGTACTGTCTCTATGGATATTTACACTGTCCTCAATCTTTTGCTATTACATGTAATACTGTGATGGAAAACCTTTATTTGTATATACATTGATTCCCAAATGCGTAAGTGTATTTATGGGATGAATTTCTATAAATGCAATTGCTGGGTAATGGGCATGAGTAATTTTAATAGTTTTTGCCGAGTCTTCATTGAGCATAGGGTGTTTATAGTTTGACCAGCAATGGGTGGGTGTTTCTTCATAGTGTCTAACATAGTGTGTTAATAAACATTTGGAAAAAAATTAAATATTATTATAAAAAGCATTCTCACATCTTACAACTATTAGCATCTACCAAACAGGAGACATGGTCACTTGGATAGACATTCTAACTCCTCTTCTTATCAGTGAACATAAGATCACTCTTTGCTTTATTAGTTCATTTAATTACACCAGGCATGAGAGGTTATTAATCTTTATGGAATTTAACAAGCAAATTTAATTTTATGGGATTTCTTATGAAGCTCTTTGGAATGTGAGACAGTGGAGACAGTCATGGTAAGAAAGACTAGAATTGGAGTAATTTATTCTAGAAAACACAAGGCAATCCTTGTTGTAGGGAAAGGTTGCTTTCACAGCTCCATTTCCTTTTGCATAGTAAGAGGGCATTATGTTGACTAATAGCAGTTTCTTATCAATGTAGAAGTAAGTCCTCTTATTCAACCAGTCCTTGGATAAATGACTAAGGAAGACTGCTTCCTACTGAAGAGAATATGGGAGGAAATGTTGATTGGGTGGAGAATGAGATTGCAAGGAAATATCAAACAATTCCTGATTTAGGGAGTCATGAACTAAGACCTCACAGGAGAAGAAAGGGGATGTTCTTTTTGAGTAAAGAGAGTATGATTTACAAGGCAGCCTGGGAAAGCAAGCATTGGTGGGTTGGTGGGGAAAGTAGGCCTTGTATAGGCAAGACTGCAGCTATGGCTCCTCTTCCTGGCTTTCTGCACTTATGTCCCAGGCAATGCATGAGTCATTCAACACATGGGGCCATAAAGCACTTAATGGAGGTTATACCAGGGCAAGTGAACCAGGACAGCAGTCAGCATTATTCATCAGCTGCTTCACCAGAACACCAAGTCGGGTATGGTGCCACACTCAGGGAAAGTAGGACTGACATATTTTGTAGGAACATTCTGTTTCTTACCCAGGACCCACTACCTGTCTTCTCTTTGGTAAATAATAATGTAGTGAGACCTATGCTTTATGATTTAGAATATTTTTATTTGATTTCCACAATAAAAAGCTGGCAATAGATAATAATAACAGAAGAAATTGTAGTTTCATTTTACAGATAGGAAAGTTGAGACTCAAGAGTATTACATAAATTGTTACAGCTACCACAGCAAAAAATGGTAGGGTTGGGAATCAAGCTCAGGGATTCTCGTGCTCTATTTAGCACTGCCCTCTCTTCTGAGAAGAACTTGGGGATAGAATAAAAAAAAAAAAAAATAAGACACTAATGAAATGTTTATCACATGTGTCTTTTGTGAAAGGGAGAAATAGAATAGTGTGAGATTTCTGTGACTCACTTGAAAATGAGTTTTAAAAACTATATTGAAGCCAAAATCACCCTGATACCAAAGCCAGACAAAGACACAACAAAAGAATAAAACTACAGACCAATATCCCTTATTAACATAGATTCAAACATTCCTGACAAAATACTAACAAACTGAATCCACCAGCACGTGGAAAAGATAATACACCATGATCAGTGAGTTTTATTACAGATGTGCAAGGATGGTTCAACATGCACAATTCCATAAATGTGATTCATCACACAAACGGAATTAAAAACAAAACCCATATGATCATATTAATAGATGTAGAAAAAGTATTTGATAAAATCCAGCATTCCTTCATAAAAAAACCCCTAACAACCTTGACGTAGAAGGACCATACCTCAAAATAGTGAAAGCCATTTATGAAAAACCCATAGCCAAAATCATACTGAACAGGGAAAAGTTCAGTATGATTGAAAGCGTTCCCCCTAAATGGAGACAAGACAAGGATGCCCAATGTCACCACTCATATTCAACATAGTACTGGAAGTCCTAGCTACAGTAATCAGGCAATAGAAGAAAATAACAGGCATCCAAATTGGAAAAGAGGAAGTCAAATTACCTCTGTTCACTGATGATATAATCTTATACCTAGAAAACTCTAAACCCTCCAAAAGACTCCTAGATTTAATAAATGACTTCAGTAAAGTTTCAGGACTCAAAATTAATGTACAAAAATTAGTAGCATTTCCATACACCAATAACAATCAAGCTGAGAACCAAATCAAGAACTAAATCCCATTTACAATAAAATAAAATAAAATACCTAGTAATACATTTGGCCAAGGAGGTTCAAGGATCTGTACAGACAACTATAAAACACTAATGAAAGAAATTGTAGAAGACACAAGTTGGAAAATATCCCATGCTCAAGGATTGGAGGAATCAGTATCATCAAAATGACCATACTGCCCAAAGCAATCTACAGATTCAGTGCAATTGTTATCAAATTACCAACATTATTCTTCACAGGTTTAGAAAAAACAATCCTAAAATTCATATGGAACCCTGAAAGAGTGTAAGTAGCCCAAGTAATCCTAAGCAAAAAGAATAAAGCTGGAGGTACCACATTACCTGACTTCAAATTACTCTAAAAGACTATAGTAACCAAAACAGCACAGTACTGGTATAGAAATAAACATATAAATCAGTAAAAAAGAATAGAGAACTCAGAAATATAGCCACATACCTACAATCAACTGATTCTTGACAAAAATATGCACTGGCGAAAGGACTCCCTATTTAATAAATGGTACTGGGAAAACTGGAATGTCATATGCAGAAGAATGAAATCTCTCACCATGTGCAAAAATTAACTCAAGATGGATTAAAGACTTAAATGTAAGACCTGAAACTATAAAATTCCTGGAAGAAAAACCTAAGAAAATCTCTCTGAACATTGGCCTAGGCAGAGAATTTATGACCAAGTCCTCAAAAGAAACCACAACAAAAGCAAAATTAGACAATAGGAGACTTAATTAAACTAAAAAGCTTCTGCACAGTAAAAAAAAAATAAAATAGAGTAAACAGACAACCTACAGAGTGGGATAAAATATTTGCAAACAATGTATCTGACAAAGGGCTAATATCCAGAATCTATAAGTAACTCAAAAAACTCAACAGGAAAAAAACAAAACAAAACAAAAAAAACCACATAACCCCATTAAAAAGTGGGCAAAGGACATGAACAGACATTTTTCCAAAAAAAGGCATACAAGTGGCCAAAAAACATGAAAAAATGCTCAACATCACTAATCATCAGAGAGATGCAAATTAAAACCACAAATGAGATGTCATCTTGCACTGGTCGGAATGGCTGTTATTAAAAAGTCAAAAAACAACACATATTGGGGAGGATGCAGAAAAATGGAAATGCTGATACAGTTTTAGTGGAGATGTAAATTAGTGCAACATCTATAGAAAATGGTATGGAGATTTCTCAAGGAACTAAAATTAGAACTACCCTTCAATCCAGCAAATTCACTACTGAGTATCCATACACAAAAAATAAATTGTTTTATCAAGAAGGCACCTGCAATTGTATTTTTATTGCAGCAGTGTTCACAACAGTAAAGTCATGAAATCAACCCAAGTGGTCATCAACAGATGATTGGATTAAAAATGTAGTGTACATATATGCCACGGAATAGTACTTATCCATAAAAAACAATGAAATCATATTTTTATAGCAACATGGATAGACCTGGAGGCTATTTTTTTCTGCATGAAATGACCCAGAAACAGAAAGTAAAAAACTGCATGTTCTCACTTATACATGAGAGCTAAACAGTGAGTATATATGGACATACAGAGTCATAGACACTGGAGACTCCAAAAGGAGAAAGGTTGGGAGGGGGGTGAAATACTACTTATTGGGTACAATGTACACTATTTGGGTGATGGGTACACTAAAAGCCCAGTCTTCACCACTATGCCTATAAATCCATGTAACATGTTTGCACTTGTACTCCTAAATCTGTAAAAATTAAAATCAGTAAAAAATATTTTTAAAAAGTGAAAAAAATGCTGGTAGGAATATCATAGATCTTCTAGTTGAATTTCTTTCATTTGTAAATGAGGAAACTGAGAATGAGAAACCTTAAGTAAATTTTCCAAGGTAATCTAGCTGGTTATTTTCGGAATGAAGATTGCAAAAAAGAGAATTAACTAGATTTAAAGTCTTCTGGAAGATGCTATATCATCTATGTACCATTCTTGCTAAAAAAAACAAATCTGATAAAAACTATAAAGCTAATAATTAATTTACAGGAACTATAAGGATAGAGAAATATGTTAGCATGCATAGAGATGTAATCAACAAAATTCAGACTGCAGGAAAAATCTGCAGAACAAATTCTGTTTATTAAAAAATACATAACAGATATAAACCAATTACGAGATATAAATCTTACTTGCATCCTCAGGAGAGCAGAACAAATTGTAAAAGTTTATCAGACAGTAAAAGAAAATTCAAAATTCACTAGATATTTGATGACAGTAAAGAATTATTATAAACATATGTTAGGTGTGATAATATTTTGCCTTTTGCAAAATTTCTTATCTTTTAAAGAAACATGCTGAGTATTTTTAGATTAAAAGACATGAGACCTGAGATTTGCTTCAGAGTATTTCGGGGTAGGGAGAAAAGTGGACCAGAATAAAGACAGAATGAATTGGCCATGAGTTGATAATTTTTTAATTTAGATAATGGGGGCTTGGGAGGCTTGTTATAGTATCTATTGCATACATTTGAGCTTTTCCATTAAAAAGCTTACTAGCTATATAGTAAATCAAATTCACATCTAAAATTGTTTTCTCTTACTTTTTAGAGATGGCAAGAAAGAAGCTGAAAAAATTTACTACTTTGGAGATTGTGCTCAGTGTTCTTCTGCTCGTGTTGTTTATCATCAGTATTGTTCTAATTGTGCTTTTAGCCAAGGAGTCATTGAAATCAACAGGTAAGAATTAACTCTGCGGCTCTCTCCATGTGTTGTTTTTATTAGAGCAAATCTTCATCAATGGCAGGAAAGTAATGCTTTCATGCTCGTGTGTGTGTGTTTGTTGCGGGGGCTGTTATATGTGTGTGTTCTACATGTTTTGGGCAGCTCAGTAGACATTCATTGTAGGTTTAAGTTGTGATACTTTGATTTAGCAATTAATGCATTGCAGGATTCCATAATTGACATTTTAAATACATTTGCCAAATTTCCTTAAATAGCTCTAATTCTGCTAAGAATGGTAATTAACAATACCCTTATGTGAAAGGCAAGCAAATGAGTATATGAGAGACTTCAAAAAGTTTGTGAAAAAATAGAAATATAGAAATAGAAAGACAGAAAGATAAAAATAAAAACAATAAACTTTATTTCTCAATGTAAACTCCATCAAGTTCAGGACACTTTTGTAAAAGATGATACCAGCCATTTAGTCCATCCATAAGAACTAAGGGTCCTAGGAATTTAACCTTTTTAATGCAGTCTTTTTTACATTATTAACTGAAAAAAATGAGTGCCCTTTATAGATTTTTTTTAAGATTAGGAAACTAAAAGAAGTCAAAAGGAGCCAAATAAGAACCATAAGGTGGATTTCCCATCAAAACTCTTGCAAAATTGCCTTTGTTTGATGACGAAATGAGCAGGAGCTTTGTGGTGGTGGAGAAGGACTGTCTCTGAAGCTTTCCTGGGCGCTTTTTCTGCTAAAGCTTTGGCTAACTTTCTCAAAGCACTCTCATAATAAGTAGATGTTACTGCTCTTTGGCCCTCCAGAAAGTCAACAAGGAAAATGCCTTGAGCATCTCAAAAAACTGTTGCATGACCTTTGCTTTTGACTGGTCCACTTTTGCTGTGACTGGGCCACTTTCCCCTCTTGGGAGCCATTGCCTTGTGCTTTGTCTTAAGGCTCGCACTGGTAAAGCCATGTTCCATCTCCTGTTACAAGTCTTGAAAGAAATACTTCAGAATCTTGATCCCCACTTGTTTAAAATGTCCATTTAAGGTTCTCCTCTTGTTTGCAGCTGATATGGGTACAACAATTTTGGCACCCATAGAGTAGAAAGTGTGCTCAACTTTCATTTTTTCAGTCAGAACTGTGTAAGCTGAACCACTTGAGACATCCGTGGTTTTGACTATTTTTTTGGCTGTTATTTGTCAGTCCTCTTCATTAGGGCATGACAAAATTAATTTTTATCTTTACAAATGGATGTGGATGGTCTGCTGCTGTGGGCTTCATCTTCAATATTGTATTGGCCCTTCTTAAAATGAGTTATTCCTTTATAAACTGTTGATTTCTTTGGGGCATTGTCCCCATAAACTTTTTGTAAGTATCAGTGATTTCACCATTTTTCCACCCAAGCTTCATCATGAGTTTGATGTTTGTTCTTGCTTCAATGTTCGCAGAATTTATGTTGCTCTGATAGGTGCTCTTTTCACACTGATGTCTTATCTTCCTAGTGCCTCAAGCTAAGTCCTGTTCAGACATGTTGTAACAATCTACTGTGAGTTTATTTTAGTGCCAAAAATATTTGAAATTTCTACAAAGTTTTTTCATAATACATATTTTTCATGGACTTTCTGAAGACCCTCATCTAATCAAAGTTTTTTTGTTTATTGAATTTTTATATCCCCAAAAGGAGCTGGATTATGCAGAGTTATCCATGGTTTCTTATCTGATTCATCTAGGAGCAACTTCCTAGGAGAACCAGGCAATCAAGGGTTAACCTGTGGCTTCTCTGCCTCTCCTACCCCATCCCTTGTTACAACAATTTCTTTTTTTTTTTTTTTTTAATTTATTTATTATTATTAAACTTACAACAATTTCTACTTTTTGTAGAAAAAAGTCCCAAAGGTTGCTCAACTCTTAAAATTATGTGATTCTAAAGATGTAACTAAAACCATTGTGCAGACATTGGCACAATTTGAATCTGAAACACCGAATGAAAGAAAAACCAATCAAAAGACTAACTGTTTTGTCTTAATGTCATTATTAATTTATTATAGAACACCTTCAAGAAAGCTCACCTCCTTATTTTAGGATACAATAAAAACACCTTTTCTAATTTACTGATTTTTAAATCTGAAATCAAAGTTCTCCAGCCCTTAGGTAAGTCCTAGCTGTCAGTTTTTAGACTGGTGGGCTCCCTTTACATCTTTTGTCATATAGGACTTTGTATTTACAGAAGAATGACGTTGCTCAGAAGCATTCTTTGTCCTGGGGATGGGCTGTTGACTGAGCAAGCAAAGTTAAGGTTACTGTGACTAGGATGGCACTTGTACTGCACATGTTCTGTGTGCCCTTGCTGCTGGGGTTGGAAGTAAAGAATGAGATCAGAGGTCTGCAGACTTTACTGTAAAGGACCAGATAGTAAATGTTTTAGATTTTGTGGGCCATACAGACTCTGCCATATGACTTAATTTTGCCCTTGTAGCACAGAGCAGCTAAAAATAAATGAGTATGTAATGTGTATAACGTATAATGTGCATGTGTGTAATTTTCCAGTAATACTTTGTTTATAAAACAGGCTTTGACTTAATTTGGCCTGTAGGCCATAGTTACTGACCCCTAGACTAAAGGAAGGGTGGTCCCCAACTTCATGAACTTCTAGGCTAAAGGTGGAGTGCTTATTCTTTTTTTTTTTTTTTTTTTTTTTTGAGACAGAGTCTTGCTCTGTAGCCCAGGCTGGGGTGCAGTGGCCGGATCTCAGCTCACTGCAAGCTCCGCCTCCCGGGTTTACGCCATTCTCCTGCCTCAGCCTCCCGAGTAGCTGGGACTACAGGCGCCCGCCACCTTGCCCGGCTAGTTTTTTGTATTTTTTAGTAGAGACGGGGTTTCACCGTGTTAGCCAGGATGGTCTCGATCTCCTGACCTCGTGATCCACCCGTCTCGGCCTCCCAAAGTGCTGGGATTACAGGCTTGAGCCACCGCGCCCGGCCGCTTATTCTTACACGTACTATCTTGTAGGGGATGGAGTTGGGAGTAGAAGGAGATGATGTAGAGACACACAGAGGTAAATACAGTCAGCAGGAACAAAGTGACATTTTATAAAGGGAATGCATAAATTTTGAGGTCATCAGAGTGAAGCCCACTCAGTAGTGGAGTTAATTGGAGGTGTTGAGAACTATTGAATGTCTGTGAAATTAAATTTGTTTAATGATCATTTTATGTTTGCTTTTGATATAGCCCCAGATCCCGGGACAACTGGTACCCCAGATCCTGGAACAATCACTTCCACGCAGCCTGGGACAACTGGTCCCCCAGATCTATAGCCCCAGATCCCGACAACTGGTACCCCAGATCCTGGGAACAATCACTCTCCACGCAGCCTGGGACAACTGGTCCCCCAGATCCTGAACAACTGGTTCCACGCATCCTAGGACAACGGGCCTCTGTGATCCTGGGAACAACTGGTTCCACGATCCTAGGCAACGGTCCCCTAGATCCTGGAACAACTGGTTCCACGCATCTCAGGACAACGGGTCCCCTGTGATCCTGGAACAACGGGTACCACTCCTGTTTCTGCTGAATGTCCAGTGGTAAATGAATTGGAACGAATTAATTGCATCCCTGACCAGCCACCAACAAAGGTTTGAGTTATGAATTTTGTTTGCATTTCAGAATTTATGCAACTTGATAGTTTTTTTTGTTTGTTTTCGTTTTGTTTTGGTTTTCTTCATTAGTGACTCTCAAGAGAGGTGTTTACGTTGTAGCCATTAGCCGCTCAGGCAAATTAACCTTTGTCCATGCTTGTATGACAGTGCAGCTTCGGGAAAGGAAGACCTGGAATATTCCCTTGGGTTGCCAGATTCAGCAAATAAAAGTGTGGTTGCCCAGCCAAATTCAAATTTCAGAAAAACAATGAATCAGGTTTTAGTATAAGTGTGTCCCATGAAAGATTTTGGGCTTACTTACTAAAAATGTATTTGTCTTTTATACGGCAACACTACATGATTACTAGTTCTTTCTGCCTCTGTTCTTGCCCTGTATGTCTCTCCTTCTCCTTTCAGAATTTCCAAAGCTCATCTGGGATCTACAGTAAAAATTCATACACGTGCACAAAGCATTATTTAAAATAAGGGCAAAGTTTCAAGGGCTATGTTTTGGAATTACCTTATGCTATAAGGTAATTAATGCCAGATTAAAGATAGTGCAGACATCTGGGTATTTACTTTAGCCCAGTGTTTCTAGATTATCGGCTGAAGTCCAGCTGATTATGATGATTATAAAGTACTTTGCCCACACCCTATGTTTGTTATGCGAAACTTACAGAAAGCTGATGCACACGCATTTACTTTCCCTGTCATATTGTGCAAGTTATTCAATAGCTCAATTGGGCTGTACTCAATAGCTCACTAATTACTTGGAAGCTCACCTAGATTATCACATTCTCAGTATGTCACGCTACTGCAACACTCCATCTTGTTATTGGGTATTGGTGAACTTCAGATACAGCCATAGTAATGTTTCTTTGGTGCTTTATTGTAAGATCTTTTGATAAGTACTATGGTATCAAGATTGAAGTTCAATAAGTGATCTTTGGCTTTTCTACATGTCATACCCAACTGAATTACTCCATGACCTTGGTGTGTATTAATTGGCATGCTCCTTTTTTGCTCAGCCAGAGAGAAATATTGGCACTTTCAATGATTCATTTTCTTGTAGAAGGTACATCTTAGGCCTTTTGTTGTATGTTTCACGAATCCTGAGAGCTGTATGCTGAGCCAGATTGTTGTTAAGAGCTGAGGCTATGGATAGTGATGTGTTTGTATGGCGTTCACATTAAAGGGAATATAGCTGAAAGAGGATGGTGGGAAGAAGTCATGAACACAACAGATAGGGTAGGCAGAATGTTCTGGTGTTGAAGACATTCCCATATAATTTTTTCATTCTTATCGTCTGTCCTCCAAGATTATATGTAAAAGAACTAAAAGAATAACTTTCCCTGCAGATGGTTCTTGGTTGTAAATACTGTTGTTTCATTCTACCAGTTATGGGAGGGAATCCTTTTCCAGGACAGAAGGAAGTAATGTATCAAGCCACCCTGACACCCTGAGTACTCTTGGGAGACTCTTCTTTGTCGAGAGAATGGACTCTAGGAGTCCCCTTCATGGATCTTAGAAAAAAAGATCACTCAATTATCTAACTCTAGTTCATATCTTTAGTTCTCGGCTTGAAACTGGTTAGAGGGCATCTTCACTGAATCCCTTCCTATCACATCAGCTGAACTCATTACCTCCTCACCAAATCTGCTTTTCCTTCTCAGCTACCAGATTTCTGTTAGTAGTTCCATTAAGCTTCTAGTTCTTGAGGCAGAAACAGCAGAACTTCTGCTTGGCTCATCCCTTCTATCCCTTTGGCCAGTATTTCATGTATTTTAAAATGTTTTCCTTAACAATATATTCCAGAAGAGGCATTTCATTTCCATTCTCTCTGCCATCCCTAGATCATCATTTCCTCATGCTTGAGTTGCTCCAGGTGCCCCCTGGCATCCCTTCTGAATTCCATTTCTCCCATCCATTCCATTACATGAGGGATTAGAATTGCTCTTTTTTATGTCCAACTTTTGTTATTATTTCTACCCAACTCTAGTGCATATAGTGGTTTATTACTGTATGTTGAGTCAACTTCAAACACTGTCTTCTATCATCTAAGACCCTACCTCTGTGCCTCTATGGGTTCACTTAGGCTATACTTCTACGCAGATTTTAAAGACAACTCTCTACACTTATTCTGAACCTTTGAATTCTAAAATCCTTTCCACTTCCTTGATGAAGTCTTTTATCCCCAATTCCAGAACTCAGAGTTGAAAGATCCCATTGATGGCAGGGAGCAGGAATATTTCATCAAATTCCAGATATCCAGGTTAGGAAAGAAATGACAGTTAATACTTAGAAATACTTTGATTTTTCAGGGCTATAAAGCACTGTGTAAACATGGGAGAGCAGGTTGCATGTTTAAAGATAAACCTGCGTGCCCTAAGTAAACATTGCAGAGTAATTAAGCTGAGAGAAATTCACAGTTGTTTTCTAAGGATAACAATAATATGAGTAGTAATCTGAATAATTTGAGAGGTTACCATATTTCTTAAGAAGCTTTGCCATCTTTTACAGCAAACACACTTGGTAATTGTCTGTGTATTACTCATTTATTTGGCTTATGATATCTTTTGGCAAATTCCAGTTTATTATCAATGTGTTGGGGATCATGTTTTATGATATAGCAGCAAGGGTATTGCATTTTACCAAGGTCATTGTGAGTCTTCACCTTTAAATTACTCTTTGTTTACACAACATCAGTTAATAGCCATTATATGGTGCTAGGAAGAGCAGTGAGCCCAGATACAAACTTAAAGTCTTAAAAGACTTAAGTTTATGTTTGGCACCTTGAAATGACAGTGTAGCCATTGGACAAGGGAAAGGATGTAAGGGGAGCCAGGTTATTGAGTTACTCAGTCCTGGCTTTGCTTCTGGAAAGCTCTTTGACTTGATCAGTAAGTCACATTTTCTTACAAACTGTCAAATCCCTCTAAGTAAAATGAGACAGTGTGCTCAGCTAAAAGTGCTCATTAAACAAATGACTATTGAACACTATGCTAACCTCAAAATATTTTAGAATAGTGATCTCTAAGGTTCTGGCAAATGTTTCTCTGAAAATTCACCACAGTCTGATTTGGGGGACTAGAAATACTGGATTCTGGGAATGGCAGAGGTGGCAACTTTGTTTTAAAAAGTCTTTGCTGTTAGACTTCACCTTGAGGTTAAATGAAGTGGCCAACCTAACAAGCTAAATTTCAAAACCTAACTCAAGATGCACATTTTATAAAATAGCCTAAAATTAAGATATTTCACAGAGTCGAGACTAATTTTATTCATTCGTTTGTTCAAACTTGCTGCACATAAAAACAGCTAGAGAACATTTTGATGAATAGAGGGTGATTTGAAATTCCTTTATTATCAAGTGCTTTCAACTTCTAAAATTCCTGCTCTATTTGAAGATGGGATACTTCATCTCATTCTATTCATTTTCTTCATGTGGAGACTTTTTTCCACCTTTTTTGTTCACAACATCAGGTTCTTTTGTGCTGCTGTAACATAATGCCCAAGACTGGGTAATTTATTAAACACAGAATTTTACTTCTCACAGTTATGGATGGAGACTGGAAACAACAAGACCAAGGTGCTGGCATCTTGTGAGGACCTTCTTGCTGCATCTTCACATGGTGGCAGGCAGAAGGCAAGAGACAGCCCACTGTCTCCTTTATAAGGGCACCTAATTCCCTTTGTGTGGGAAGAGCCCTCATGGCCTAATCACCTCGTAAAGGCCCCACCTGTTAATACTAACATATTGGGAACACCTGAATTTTGGAGGGGGCATATTTCAGCCAAAGCACCAGTCTAACTAAAATTGCTCTAAGTCTTCTATTTTCTTAGACTTCTGTTTTCTTAGAGCACAGCTTCTCCGTTTGTCTACTGAATTACAAACTACCCAAACTTACTGGTTTGCAACAATTGTTTTATTATATCTAGTGATTTTATAAGTCTGGGATTCTGGCAGGGTTTGACTGAATGGTCCTGTTCCACATAGCATTTACTGAGATTACATGATGTGGTGGTATTTAGTTGGTGGCTGGTCTGGTCTGGAGGTTTCAAGATGACTTTACTGACATACCTGGTACTTTGGCGAAAATGGCTGTAAGGCTGACTGCACCCTCTTCCCCTCCATGTAGTCACAGAGTCTCTCTTGGTACTCCCCCCAGCAGGGTAGCTGAACTTCTTACATGGTGGCTCAGTGCTGCAAGAGACAGAGACGAAAGCTCCCAGTTCTCTTAAGTACCACACCTAAGCCAGCATAGCATCACTTTTGCTGCATTTTATTGATCAAATCAGTCTCAGGCTGGCCCAGATTCAACAGGAACAATGACAGACTCCACCTCTTGACACAAAGTGTGTTGGAGAACTTGATGGCCATTTAAAACAGCAGCAGAGGAATGCTTATTTTTTTTTCTTCAGAGTAGCATAAAGTCTGCTATTAATGATCAAGGCTGTGGTGAACTGGACAATACAGAACAGAGCAGGATGGGGTGGCACAGGTTAGAGGAGTCAGCACTGGGAATAGGTTGGGTGGCAGAGCTGAGTGACTGAGGTCTAATGCGAATGGGAAGGAGTGCCTCCTGTTCCCTCCAGTGGCAGGAAATGGCTGATGCCACTGACACACTCAAGCTGACTCTCCCTCAGTCTGGAATCATGTCCTTTTAACCAGTTTGCATTTGTCCTTGCAACTTTGCCCTCTTTCTTTTCTGAATGCTACAGCTGCTGAAGTTTTGATTTTCTTTTTTTTTAAATCTTAGATCTGCTGCTTCCTAATGACCTAATGGTTTATGCATTTCAAGGCACCTGTAATCTTATCAGTAAATTATTTTCACCTCACGTTGTGGAACGACATAGGGAATTACTTTGGAGAAAGTTTCTGGTTGATAATTGATTTCACCTTTAGAATAGGCTTTTGAGAATATAGGGTGGCAATTTCTCTTTTTTATATACAAATATGTGAGAAAGTATTTTTAAAACTAAAAGACCCACATGCTTAC